CTCCCTATTTATTTCAAAACCCCCTTCCCCTCCCCCTTTTCTGATGAAGGGTCTAGGCCCGAAACGTCAGCCTCTCTGCTCCTATGATGCTGCTTGGCCTGCTGTGTTCATCCAGCCCTGCACCTTGTCTCGGATTCTCCAGCATCTGCAGTTCCTACTATCTCCCATTTGCCCTTACCTCCTGGTTGTTAGGTTGCACAGCACTATTTTAAAGAGAAGCTGGGGAGTTAGCTACGCTTAGATAAAACAAAGTACTGCAGGTGCTGGAAATCTGACACAAACAAAAAGCAGAATTAGCTGGTCAGGCAACATCTGTGAAGAGTAAACAGGGTTAACCTTTTGAGTTCAGTGACCCTTCTTCAGAACTAGAAGGAGTTACGAAAAAGAGGTACAACCAGCCAATTTTCAACTACCCAGTCCCCATTATCACCTTCTCGGCCTCCCATGCTTATATTAATAATCCATTCGTCTACCCACCCTTTTTTTCTCTTTCTTCGGGCTCCGTCTCCAACCAACTCTGACTCCTTCTTCCCCTGATCATCATCATTGATACCTTCTTTTCCTAGTCGGTAAAATGTGGAGCTGGAGGAGCCTAGCAGGCCAGGCAGCATCAGAGACCCGAAACGTCGACTTTCCCGTTCCTCTTGATGCTGCCTGACCTGCTGGGCTCCTCCAGCTCCACCTTTTACCGACTCTGACTTCCAACACCTGCAGCCCTTACTATCACCTTTTCCTAACTGTTTCTAGTTCTCTCCACTGATGCTGCAAGGCGCGCCGAATTTCTCCAACTATTTCTGTTTCAATTGATTGTCTTTGGTGTCCTTACACTACGCTATCAATCCACGTTATGAAACAGCATTTTGCCCTACCCAAAAACTGGCTCTCCTGCGTTTCCCAAATTACTCGAGTGATTATACTTCTACTGTCTGTCGAAGGCTTCGGGAGGTTCTGGGACTGTGGTGTTATCAAACAAGTCTTGCTTGGGAAGGAAGCCGGGAATTGTGAAGATGTGAGGGGACAGTGTCCAGCGAGCTGCTTCCCTTCCCCGCCCCGGGAACAATGATGCTGAACCGTCCGTGGAACGTTATGCGATCCAGGGAAACAATGGGTTCGAGCCGGCCTAGAGCGCGCGCTGGGCTTGCAGATGCAGCCGCAGCCGCCGGAGAAGCAACCTGCGTTGCAATGAAAAGAAACCAAACACCGGCACGTCGCGGGGCGGGGGGAGACGCCGACACTCCTGAATCCCTTGAGCGCTCTCACCTTCAGCTGTCCCATGCAATGGATGAACTGCAGCAAAGTCTTCAGGTTGGCCGTTCGCGTGCTCGCAGCCATGGTCTGGGAGACGGAGGTGACGTCACCGCTGCCCTCCCGGCCGGATTGGAACCGCGGCGGGGGATGGATCCGTCAGGAATACAGCGCGGGCCCGTCGTCTGCACAGTCCCGGGGATTGCAATAGGCGGCACGGAGCAGCAGAGAGAGAACCCTCCCAACACAAATTAACCGAAACGAAACAAATATGTCTCCAGTTCTTAGGAAGGGTCACCGGATCCAAAACGTTAACTGATTTTTTTCTTCACAGATGCTGCCAGACCCGCTGAGCTTTTGCAGCAACTTCTGTTTTTGTTCCTGATTTACAGCATCCGCAGTTCTTTCGGTTTTCTTTTATTAAGACGTTTCCGGGTCAGTACGGCTGAGTTCTCAGCCCCACATTTCAACACACTCAGTTTATACAAGCTTTGCTGGTGCTTTTTGTGCCAGCGACCGTGTGAGGAGTTACAAGAACTAGAATTCCCACAGTAACTAGCTGTAACTAACTAGGGTTACCCCAGTGACTAACAGTAATACCAGTGCTGTAACCAATCTGATCATTCATTCAGAGCCCATGTGTAAGAGGAGGGAGATGTTGAGCCTTATTATCTAACCAACTTGTACTATACTGAAAATCAAAATACCGCAGATGCTGGAAATCTGAAATAGAGAATCCTGGAGCAGTTTAGCAGGTCTGGCAATATCTTCTGAAGAAATCATATCGAACTGGAGACATTGACTCTGTTTTTCTCACCACACATGATGCCAGACCTGCGGAACTTCTCCAGGATTATTCGTGTTTGTAGGTATTAAGCCTATTAAAAAGAATAATCTGCCTATAGACATATGCCTGTCAACAGATGAATGCCCAAAATCCCCTGCACTGGGACAAGGTGTGGTCAGACTCACCAGCGCATGCAATGTTTAACCACCATCACTGAGCCCACACTGTGTGTGAGTGGTATCCAGCTGACAGCCTCGGTCAAACCTTGTCTGGACTTAGACACTGCACATCAAAAGTGGCTGGCAGAAACCAATCTGAACTAAACCGAAATGAAACATCACACATAAAGGATGCAAACTTTGTGTTTCTGGAAGTGTGCACAGATTATATTGTCCTAAACTCAGCTCAATGTGTTTCTGAACAACTAATATAGCAATGATGATATGGATGCTGAAAATCTGAAATACAAATGGAGAAAACTGAAACTGTTCATTTTGATGAAAAGCTATTGCTCCAAAAACATTAGCTTTATTTTTCTTTCTTTTTGTTGTATGTATCTAGCATTTTCTGTTTTATTTCTAAGCAATTCCCTGGGCCTAGTCTCAAAACAGCTATCATAATATCAAAATACTATGCTTACTGGATATCTGAAGTAAAAACAAAGTGCAGGAGAGATTCAGCAAATCTGACAGTATCTGTGGAGAGAAGGACAGAGGGCTGAATCTTATCATCTGATTCTCCCATGTTTTGCCAATGCCCACGTCTTTTGGGGTCAGGAAGATTCTGCCTGAAATTTATGTTTCAAGTCCAATATGACTGTTCGGAACTGAAGTGAAATGGAAAAGTGCCACAATTTTTGCTTTTTATTCCGTGAAGCCTTTGATTGCTAACCTTCACTCTCTAACCACTCCCTTACTTTTCCTTTTGTTCAACTTGTGGCACTCCACCTTTTTCCACAGCATAAACCCAACACTTTTCCATATCACTTTAGTTTAAAACAAAACTCATATTCGACTCAAAATGCTGTTTCTTGTTCATGAATATCACCAGACCTGCTGTGTTTCTCCAACATTTCATATTTTTGTTTTAATACAGCTATATCTTGTTTAGCATTGCTAATGTGTTCCAAAAATATACTTCGCTGAATAAAAATCCCTTGCCCATTAAGAAAGCACGTAAGAAGAATATTTTAAATTTTTGACCCCGACAATTTAGGTTTAAAGCTTACCTTTATGTGCTAATTTAATGTACTAATGCAGAAGAAAGACTACAACACAACTATATACATAGTTTTCAATGACAGTTAAATAGTGAAAATCATATACCTGTTATACACCATCTTCTACAGAACAATGTTTTAGAGCAACGATTACTAAATATATTGGTGTGCTTCTTACTACATGTGCAGTGATGACTTATTGCAGTAATAAATATGCAGTAATAAATAATCAAGATAGCTCTTGATGAATGTGCTGTAAATGGAGGTTGTAGCTAGCAGTGCTACTCTAATAAGTTCCCTACCGATTAGAGCACTTTAAAACAAAGATGCATTATTAGAATGTGGTTTAAGGATGGATATCTGTAACAAGAACTTTCATAAAATGATTTAGTGATGGCGGAGGAAAAGGCCAATCCACAGCAGATGCTTGTGCCAGTACTGGCCCTTTCTCTGGTTGCCTCAGAATCCTTCTTATATTCTGATTGCAATGACTTTTTCCATTCCTTTTTCTGTAATACTTTGGTTGGCTGAACAACCAGGTCTAAAGTCCCCCTGACCCCCAAGTTACTGATCCTATTCCACACAGATGCTTCCCTATTAATCATGTGAACTTTAACTTTGATTGTCTATTATGTGAAATTTTGTCAAACCCTTTTGAAAATTCAGATGCATAATATCAACTGTATAAACCCCATGAACCCTCCCCATTACTTTGTCAAAGTCCTAAATCAGCTAGTCAAAACAACTTGCCTTTAATAAATCTATGCTGACTTTCATTTATTAGCTCATACATCCCCAAATGCCAATTTATCTTAATCCAGATTATTGTCAACATTCACTATGTGATGATCAAAACTATAATGATATAGAAGGAAAATTATTGCAAAAGAAGAGAATACTCCTTGCATTTACATTAGACACCTAAATAAGGTTTTTCAGATACACAGAACAATTTCTGTGAAATGTACCTGTCTGAAAATCATTTGGTGAAGTGATCAGAACAAGAATTTTTAACCAGGTGGAACTATTGCCTACTTGATGACTACTGATGGTGACACAGTGGTTTACATTAGTGTGTCATGGCGCTAGGGACCCAGGTTCAATTCCAGCCTTGGGGGACTCTGTAAGGAATGTGCATTTTCTCCATGTGTTTCCATTGGGTGCTCTGGTTTCCTCCCAGACTCCAACAATGTGCAGGCTAGCTTGGATAGCACATGGTTAATATAGGGTTATGAGATAGGGTGGGAGAATGGCTCTGGGTGGGGCACTCTTTGGAGGGTCTGTGCAGAGTCAATTTACCAAATGGCCTCTATCTGCTCTGTAGGATTCTATGATTTTATTAATTTACTATCTTTCAGGGAGCGATGATTCAACCAGATCTCCCATTTGCCAGAAAATAAATTTGGTTGAATTTGTTAACTGCTTCTGAGATCTGAGTTTATTGGGAGTTTAGAATACCAAGTTGAATTGACCTGCATTAGTTTGGCACATTGATTCAAAATTACACCAAATTCTGGCTGACTTATAATTATAAATGGATTTAAGCAAGCAGATCATACATGTTTTTAGCCTGATTGCATCTTGTTGTACATTTTGAAATGAATTTTGAGATACTGCTTCAGAATTTTTTTCACTGCATTCTTATTCTCCACAGCAAGTGATGTTAAGTGGGAGACTGGTTTTCAAAGTATAATAAATTAAACAAAATTCTTTTGAATAAAATTTTTAGTTAGATCTATGTCATCCCAATCTAGAGTACCATTAACTTTTAAGATAATGATTCAATATTGCAGAAAGAGAGATGAAATGTGGTGAAGCTGGTGATGGAGATGAGACAGCTAGCAAGGAGAAGGAAGGAGGAGTTTGTGACTGACAGAACGAGATTGAGAAGGTATATGATGTCAGCCATCAATGTGATAACTTAAATAAAATGGGAGAAACTGATAGAAGAAAAGATTTGGTGTTATTTGATGATGAATCGTGTATAAACCATAGGACTAGATTTTATAGCCACAAATCAGGCAAGCTGGCCACCTCCTCACCTCCCACCACCCCTCGCTGGTCTTTGGTAAAAGACAGCATATTGAGGTTGGATTAGCAATCCAGTGTCATTAGTGGATTTAATTTCTTTAGTTTTTCTTGGCTGATGTTACAAATAAGAGAGTGAGAGGGAAGGGGTCTGTGAGACAAGGCTATCCTGGAGGGTGAGGACTACAGCAGCAGCAAAGATTGTCCCCTTGAGAATTGTGAGGATGTGAAGCAGAATCCTGAAAAAAAGGGGGTTATTTAGCCTCTGTGGAGATACAGAGTTAAAGGCTAAATTTTGACCCTTTTCCTGAATACGTTACACAGAAGGGAAAGGGAAGAGGTGCACTCAAATGTTGTTTCCACCCTGGCAAGAGTTCTGAATGACGAGGACTGGCACAATAGTCAGAAATCAGAAAATTCACTTGCTGTAAATCCACTGCTTCTTCCCAGGAGTGCTGTTGCCAAACATGGATTTCTGGTGAAGCTGCCACCAATCCAGTGCCAGAGGGCCATTATTCCTTCCTTGATGTATTGATGTGCAATGAATTGTGAACTGTTGGCAATTTTCCTGCCTGGACTGAACCAATAACATGGAAGTTAGGGGATACATTGATTTTTATAATCAACGGCATTATCATCCTTGCCCTGTTGTGCAACGATAGATCCTGTTGTAGGAAGTGTCACAGCTCAGTGACTACCTCCTTGGTGAAACGTAACAACATCAAACGTTGTCAGAGATAGTAGGAACTGCAGTTGCTGGAGTCAGAGATAACACAGTGTGGGGGAACTGGAGAAACACAGCAGGCCAGGCAGCATCAGAGGAGCAGGAAAGTTGACATTTCAGGTCGGGACCCTTCTTCAGAACTGGGGGAAGCAGTGGCGGGGGCGCAGGGAGCTTAGAAATAAATAGAGAGGAGGGGTAGGACTGGGGAATGTAGGTGGGATGGTGATAGATGAGTGCAGGAAGGTAGCATGGGGATTGGTCAGTGAGGTGGGAGGAGCAGATAGGTGGGAGAAAAGATGGACAGGTTGTGTCAGGTCAAGGAGGCAGGGATGAGAGGGAGGGTTGGTTATGGGATGAGGCCAGGGTTAGGGAGATTTTGAAACTGGTAAAATCCACATTTAGGCCATTGGGCTGTAGGCTCCCGAGGCAGAATATGAGGTGCTGCTCCTCCAGTTTGCGGGTGGCGTCAATGTGACACTGAAGGATGCCCAGGATGGACATGTCACCTAGGGAGTGGGAGGGGGAGTTGAAATGGTTCATGACTGGAAGGTTGTTCCTGGACAAGATGGAGACAGGAGAAGTGTTTTGTCAAAATCATTGATAGTA